GTCCGATGAGCGAGGACATGACTGTTGACCTGGCATGACCCAACCTGGGAAGTGTGCTCAACATCAGGTTGCAGGGTCATGCTGCTGCAGGTACTCCCCTCTTTTTGGGGAGTTTTTGCATGGGTGTGAGTTCCCACACATATGGCAGGGTGCTGGAGTTGATGTGGAGATCATTGGGGGAGCCAGTAGTGCTCCCCAATCAGCTAAGGACTAGGCAGTCCTTGTAATACTGCTGCTGTTGCCATCATCTGCTGGAGGAATCCAGGAATACTGATCTCAGATCCGGATTCTATTCTGCAGCTGTACGTGGCGGCTTGCCGCCGCCACGTACAGCTGCACGCCAGCTTTCGGGCGCTTTGTTTTCACACCTATCGGCGTCACCCGTCGTTAAGAGGTTAAAGTACAGTCCAATGAGAAATCTCAATTGCTATCCAAAAAGAATCCATTCCTTCTTAATTTTGTGTGTATGCGTGTGTTCTTTCCTTGGAGTTTCAATACAGGAGAAGAGCTAAGCTCAGAGGGTCCCATCTGCTATGATCAGGTTATCATTTATAATTGATACACATTTTTGGCACACTCACTGCTATTAGGGAGATTGTTCCATGCTTCATTAGAACTGTTTGGAAATTAGCATAGCCTGCATATTGCCTCTTTTTATTTTCATTTTGTTAATGTGTCTTCTCCTTTGTCTTTTGTTCAAGTTGCACTCCCTGTACAGGATAATCATGTCCTCTTTTCATTTATATGATCATCTGGGCTTAAGGGCACTGTCCCAGCAGAGGTATACCTTGCTCCAGTCATTTTATCATCAAAAGGTAGCTGGTGTTCTCTCTCTCTTTTTCCCTCCTGTCTGAAAAATCATCTTGTGGGATGCCCTTCGTAATAACCCCTTCACGACGAAAACAGACCGCTCGAAAAGTGGCATGCGGTTTTACACTGCGGTGGCACGCCAAAGCACAGCGAGCCAGTGATTCGGCCTGATGTACTGAACTCACGCGCTCAAAGTCGGTGTGCTGCCATGGTTCGCCAGAGTGTAGAGGTTTTTTGTTGTTGTTGTTGTTGTTGTTGTTGTTTTCTTTACCCGTCATCATTGGGTTAAAGCAAAGTCAAATCAAAATATAATCATTATTTCTACTTTTAGTTATTAACATTTGTCCTTTTGTTATTAACATTAGTGGTACGTACAGATCCCTTTACAAGCTACAGCATATTACAAGGGAGCCTTGATGGAAGACATTGTTAAAGAAAAAATCTCAAAATATTTCATCATAAATAAATCATTAGGATTTTTATTTTTTTCTGATATTGGTATAAAAATGCTCTTTGGACATTCAGGAACTCATATCTCCACACATTGTCATTATCAAAAGCTGTGTATGCAAAACTGCAACAAGCACAAATCTACACAGGTGTACCTGGTCCTAATTAGCTACACACATAGTTTACCTGGTGGTGCTCATGCTCTTGCTCCTCCCAAGAAATACCCCTAGTGAGGCTCAAACAGTCATTTGGTAGTTTCTTCATTCATGTACATATATCATAGGCAAGCTAGCTCCAGAACATCCTATTTCCCCCCCTTCCCCCTGCCAGGGACAGTCCCCTTAAATTTCTGGTTATGATTATTCCAAGATATTTTTCCTTATCTACTGTGTTTGATACCGAATATCCTAATTGGTATAGCAAACAGCTATACCTAACACCATGGCATTTATTGGTGTTGGATTTCATTTTCCAAGTGCAGCTCCACATAAGTTTTAATTTACCCTAAGGAGGTATTGGCATGATATGTTGTCTATTAGCCGTTAGCCATCTTCATATTTTTGCATGATGTGTAAATGTATTAAGGTAGTTTTCTTGGTTTATGTTTTGCTATTTGAGATCTGTCTCTTCTGAACCTTAACCAAAGGAGCTGCATACACTTTCTTATTTTTATGCATTTTTCTCTAAAGAAATTTTGGCCATTTCTTACTTTGTCTTTCAATTCTGATACAAATCTGTCTGCACCTTCCTCATGGGCTTTGCAACATTTTGAGTATATTACATTAATGTTCTTTTCCCCCAGTTTACACTGTCAAAAACTCTAAACGGATTCTATAATTACCTCTCCTGTAACTTATTTCCCCTTTTTCTGTAGTATAGAGCATTTTAGTTTAATTACTACTAAGTAACCCCAACAGGAGGAAAGTTCTCCATGTCCTTTGGTCATCTTATGCTTTGTGCATAAACAGCCAGTCTTACCCTAGCATGTTTCTTAACTTTTTGAAGAGGCAATATGTGTTAATGATTCCTAATGATTTTGTATGTCACAAATGTGATTGTGCTCTGAGATTGAAGATTATTTTGTCAATTGTGCTTTTAAAATCTCCTTTTACAAGAACTTTTACATTGGTGTCCAGAAGTTGAAGCACTTCTTCTAGGCTCTTCAGATTTTCTGGTGACCGCACCCATTTATGAGGTGGCATGTGGACAGTATGGTTATTATGTTTACATAATTTGTTTCTACCTTTGGTTCCACTATGGGGTCTTGGATAATATATAACTCTTTTATAATGATTCCTTAAGTTACAATTTTTATGGAGGGTTCCAGTTTGGATTCTGTGATGCTTATTACATCTGATTTATTAATTTTAATTATTGTATTAAGTTCTAGTAACTTTGAGACAAAATAATTTGTATTTGTGTTAATCATTTCTTGTTTTGATTGAAGACCTCTCACCTTCCAGACACATGAGTTTTTTCTTCCTATGTCCTTTGTTCAATTTTAACCTTAACTTACTCAATTTTTTTCTGTAGTATTTCTTTGTCATCTTTGTGTTATGTATTATATTATATAAATTATATATGTCACTAAGATTCTAAAGTTCCTATTCAGAAATCGACTAACATTATTTTGTGTGTTATACCCTTGTAACGATGTGTGATCTGTTTTCTATAACCCATTAAATGTATGCCCAAGCAGCGATGTAAGCTAACACACTCTTGGCTCAGCAATAAAATATAAAAAAAATAAAACATAGAAGAGACTCTCTCTACAAACCCTACAATAAATGGGTTTATCTAAGACTTCGTGATCCCTACTTTGGCAAACGAAGTTGGGAGACAACGAAGCGCTTATCTTACAGGTGAGATATGAAATGATGTTATACTGTTTGGGAGATAGATGAGGATATCCCCACCAACTTGTTTATATTTTCTATTATCCAAATTATCTCTCATTCTTCGTGGGTGGCCAGGACTTTCTTTTTG